AGGCATTTTATATGTGGTGTTTTATTAAAGACTTACATTATTGGCCATATTGTACTTAATAATAAAGTGCAGAAGTGTAAGTGTCTTGTCCAAGATCACACTGCTTATAAATAGTGATGCTCAGATTTAAACTTAACAGTTCTGTCACTAAATCTTTTATTATACAATAATGCCATTAATTCCAGAATGGGAGAAGGAGAGGTGGTCATGCCTCAGTGGTTGAGGGGTAGGGGGACTTAACGTAAAATAATAATTCTCATGCTACTGTTACTTTTGTGCCATTAACACAAAAGCCATTAAAGTTAAAAAAGCAAATATCTTCTTAGAATTAAAAAATAGTTTGACCTCATAAACCCATGGCAAGTTTCCATGAACTACACTATTGAAATAATTGCATTAGGCCGATTGGTATCTGATGTGATGCTGGTCCTCTAGCACAGTGGCTGATAACCTTGCCTGTGAGGAAAGACTTCCAGGGAACTTTGAGAAATTGTAGATGCCCACCTAATTTAAGTCCAAATTTCTGAGCATTGATTGTTTTTAAAAGCCCAAAATGATTCTAATGCATGGCCAGGGTCTTACCACATTTGACTCAGTGTATTTGGGAGCTTTTCTGTTTTATCAGTCTGTCTGTTCTGCCCGAGTAGCTAGAATAAATTTTTTTAACAGGATTTGCACTTTGTCCTTCAGAATTTTCTCATGTCAAAATAATTTATCAAGGACACATGTGAAGCTTTCATTATCATAAGTATATGTACTCTTTCCCTTACTAACACCTTTGACATCCTTGTTGCTTTTATTTCGTTCTGAGTTGTCCTTAAAATAACTATGTTTAAACTCTTAGTTTAAAACTAAGCAGCACAAACACAGCTACACAGCATCGTAGGTACCATGACAATGACATGAAAATAAATGCAAATGACCACCAATGTGGCCAGTGGAGAACAGAGTTGAGGTGCTTCTACTCTAGACTGTAGCTTTACTTGTAGCCAGAACAGTTATGTAAATAGAAAGCGTAAGTAGAGAAAAGTCTACACTTTTGAAATAGGACCGGTGAAATCAAATGGCAAATTAGTCTAGCCTCACTCCTCTTTTTATGAATGAAATTAAAGTGATGCATAGAGATGCTGATTTTCCCAAAGTCCAACTTATATATACACATATTTCATTAAATCCATATGTCTTTAACCACTGATGCTAAGATAAGCTGATGTGTTCTTAACATTGAAGCATTAAGCATTTCTGGGTTTTAAATTAAGATGACTTGTATATTTGATACAATATCAGCACTAGCTTACAGTAAGCAGCAAAGGTTAAACTTATATGCTAATAATACTAAAAGAAAATGATCAGTATTTCTGTGTATTAGTGAAAATCTTTTCAGTCGCCTGTAGTCACTTATTTTGGGCAAATGGGGTATTTGTGTGTGTGTGTTTGTACATTCACATACAGGTTTACATTTTAAGAGATAATAGTGGTATATACGAATTTACAGTTACAAACTAGTTGAAAAATGCTGACCTGACCTAGATTTGTAAGTGATAAAGTGCTGACCCACTTTTCCAGTGCTGTATGTAGTTTTTATCACAACTAGGTCAGGAATGTCATTTCTGGGTTTCCTTAAATCCCCCCAGAGGGATAAAAGTTTTTAGTTTTGTGTAAAAGCAATAATTATTAAAACAAGTAAAATTCCTGCTATTGGGGGTTTTAAAAATTAAAATTTTTGGTATTCAGTTCTCATTTAAAGTGAATTTCCATTAAACTGAAAGAATTAAATTTGTCAATAATAATTTATTTCCCACATAGGAGACAGTCAGTGTGTAATGGTCCCAGACAGTGTTATGCATAAAGACCCTTAATTGGTTAACAATTTTAGTAGTCTTAAAAATAAATAAAAAGTTACATGTAGCTTAACTATGATCTGGGACTAATGAAAACACAATAGGCTTAAAGTCTTAGAGTTAGCAAGTAGTCATTGAGTACTCTCTGACAAAGCATTTTTTAGTATATTAATATGTATATTTGTGTTGTTTATCTCATTATATCTTTGTTTGAATCTCTATACTGTTTGGATTTTTCCCCCTTTTGTCCCTCTATTCCTAATGTTTTGGATGGTTTCTTTGACTTAGAAGTATTTTTATTTATACATCTAAAAACAAAACCCCATAAAAAGAAAATGTTTGTAGGTGTGGTAGACAGAATGTCCCCCACCCCACCCACAAAAAAACTCCACAAATATGTTATCTTGTTATGTTAGTTGGCAAAAGGGACTTTGCGTGTTTGGTTAAGAATCTGAGGATGGGACAAGCATCTTGAATTATGGGGATGGGGTGATTTAAATCACAAGTATCCTTATAAGAGGGAGGCAGGAGGGACATAGTTACAAAAGAAGTGACTATACAGGTGAAAGTGTTGAGAGAAGGGGTTACTAGCCAAGGAATGAAGACAGCCTCTAGAGGATGGAAAAGGTAAGAAAATAGATTCTTCTAGACCCTGCAGAAGGAACAATCTGTCTTTTATTGTGTTTTATAACCCCCTGGTATTGCCACAGTGTCCTGGAAAACTGGGTAAACCTGGGATTGGAGAACTGTTTGAGATTCTCAAATTTTCTGCCAGCTTGCCTATCCAGTCATCCAGACTTCTTAAAGATGTGTATCTCTTACAAAGTAGATGGAGCCAGAAGAATACATATTGTCCCATATGCAAACATCTTAAGACAAGCTGCTTGATGGAACTGTCTTTGAACTCCAGTTTGTGATACAAAAAGATTTAGATACTGAAAGGAAATTACCTCAGGCTTCCATTTTACCCTACAGCCTGGGCCTTTAACATGCACATAAAGATATTTGCTCCTTTCTTCTGGATTTTCCAAGTATCATTGACAAGTAAATACAAATGCAAAGAAGTGTATGGAGGTATCTCTTGAATCATTCAACAAAATATTCAGTATTCTGACTTTACACTTTTTTTAATAGCCTACATTGTTAATTCGGAATCTAAGTATGCTCTTGCGTTTGTTTTCAAGTTCCTTTTCATTCGGCATTTTCAGTGACTCCTGCACACTATTTTGTGTGATAGTCATAGGGATTAATAAGGAAACTGCAATAAAATGAAGGAGACAATTATAGTGCAGTTTGATGAGTGCTGTAATGGGCAGTTCTGTGTGTAACACGTGTGTACAAAGTTCCTGACTCTGCTTAGTGTAGAGAGTGGGAACAGGAGAGACTTCACAGAGAAGGTCACTCTCGAGTCAGGAGACCAGAAGTTTGAGTCCTTTCTCCAAGCAGGCAAAATCAGGTGGAAATCTGCAAAAATGCAGAAGACCTTGAAAAGGACTTCATGATTTAAAAGATCTGGAAAAAATTAAATACAGTAAATGAATTTTACTTTTCTTATTACCTTTTTGTATCATCTTCTACTTTGTGATGGAATATGCTTCCCTTTTTCTTAGCTTCTTCCCTTTCTTTTAATAACACTTTCCTATTTAAAATCCCAATTATTTTTCTACAAAACAGGAACATCTGTTTCCTTTAACCCCGAGACTGAAGTTTTATATCAGTGACCCACAGATGCTAAGCATTAATACGAGGAATGTGTAGGTAGGCTAAGCAGTGGTGGACTAATGTTTGAAACACTCTTTAGACCAGTCTGTGTACATCTAAAAGACTTTACCACCTAAGGTTATTTGTTTAAATTTTAGGATCTATAAACCCCAAGAACAAAGTTGTATGTACTATATATTGCCTGCTTGTAAATGATTTTCATTTGTAAATGGATTCACGTACAAATATGTATAACACACCCTACTTTAATGATAGGCATGTTTTTAAGTGCCCATTAAAATCTTTTATTATGAAAAATTCAAACATACATAGGTAGAAGGAAGAATACAATGAAGTCTCATACACTCAGCATTTCGTCAACCACACACACACTAGATTACTTAGAAACCAGTCCCAGACACCATATCATTCTAAGCATGTTTCTTTAATAGGACATTCAGGGAAGGAAAAAAAAATATTGCAAAATTGTGAATTTAGATACTCCATTAGGAAGACGATAAACCTACTTTGCAAATTTATTTTCCAACCACTTTACTACATAAATCCTTTGTGCGGTAAATCTGCACATCATTCTCTATGCAAGTTCCTGGATCTGTGGGATGTTTTACATGCTTTTGTCCCTTCCGGAGCCTGCTCTCTATCTTTGGCCATCTATTTGTAATATCTCTTTCAAGGATTGATTCAGTTCCAGCTTTCTCCTTGAAGCTTTTCCTGGCTTTTCTTTGTGAAAACGGCAATTTTTTAAATTTATTTATTTGGGGGGGGTCAGCATGGCTCAGTGGTCACATGTGTTAGTGAGTTTCTATTTAGTTTTTTTTAAATATATATCTTAACATGATTATAACTGCTATATGCCTCAGTTCTCTCATGTATAAAGGTTATTGAAGTCATCACATATGAGGGTAAATAAGATAATCCAAAACAAGGACTCAGTGAATATCAGTTGTTTTTTGTCATTAGCTTTTGTAAAGTCCTAGGTGCAAGGAATCACACTATTTACTTGTTTAATCCCATGTCTAGCTTCATACCCCAGAGTAGATACTAAACATACGTTTGGTTATGTTGGCTGCAAGGAAATCTGTGCTTTATATTTCATGAGCTTATTATCAAATGCTGTATTCATCAGCATATTCATATACATGTTCAAAATAGGATCTTTGAAAGGTGTTGTGAGATACTGTGTTTCCTATCTTGAATTGATTGTTCATTAATTTGAAGAGATAAAACATATCACTTGCCTTCACATATGCAAAATTAAAATCCAATTAGAAACCAAGCGATATTAAACTTTACACTTGTTTATCAATGAAGAAATTATTTCCATAGGAAAACAAAATAATACAAAAGAGTTTTGCTTATCTTTTTCAGACCACAAAACTAACACTTGGAAAATTTGAGAAATTCAAAAAAACTTGAGAATTAGGTTAAAACCTCCCTCAGAAAATCACTGGATTCTCCCCTCTTCTTTCCATAAAGGCTTACACAGCTAAAGATATTACTGTGAAAAGAAAAAAAGCATGCTGCTTTTCCTACCACTTAGCATTTTTTTGTCCTTCAGGATATTGGTAAATAACGTACAACTTTTAAAAATGTTTTCAATAGTTTGTAAATATTCTATAAATGTCTGTATAAAGGGTTTTAAAAATACTACTACAGTATTTGAACAGGGCTAGTTCTTTTTTTAGAGTTCGCCTGGCTGTTATTTAATTTATTTTTTCATGTGAACTTCAAAATCAGTTGTCTACTTCAGAATAACTTGTTGGTGTTAGGTTCACTTTAAATTTACAGATTATCTTTCTGATGTTGCCTTCGAATGTAAGAACCCAGTATACCATTTCTACTACTGTCTTCAGTAAGTTTTAAGGTTTTGCCAGTTTCGTTCTTTGATCTTAGTCAAAGCTTAGTCAAAGCTGTTGCACATCATGTTAAGCTTATTCCTGGAGAGTTTGTTATTATAAGTGAAGTCTTTTTTTTTTCCTTTATGTCTTAACTGGTTGATAATATAATTATGAAGGCTGTTGATTTAAATATCTTAATTATACACCCAGCCACCTTACTTAATTCCCTTATGGTCTGTAATTATTTTTCACTAGAGTCTTTTGGGTTTATTATATATACAGTTGTACTTCTGTACTTTTTATTTATTCAATCATTCCTTATTGAGCTCCAACTACGTGTCAAATACATAGGTGTTAAAGATTGATCAGACAGTGTCCACTCTTCAGAGAGAAGTATTAGAATAATGTATAACAGTTTGCTATGGGTACAGAAAGAGAGTTCGGTATGAAATATGAGAGGGGAAGCAAAGGAGTTCATGGAGACTTCTGGGAAAGATAATGCTTGAGCTGAATTTTGAATAAAGTAAATCTGCCTTTATTTTACTTCGACTGGAAATTTGTGATTTCCTTTAATTCCTTTGTTAAATTTGTTGAGTCACTTCTAAAGAATCAGTAATGAATGAGCAAGTGCTTTTCTCTCACCAAAACCGAATAACCTATTATAAGTCAGTGTATGGAAAATGATTGCTAAAATTTAAAACATTCTTGTCCTAAAAGAATTGCAGAATTGAAAGAAACTTTAGTCGGCATGTAACCAACCTATCTTCCTGCTTTCCACCCAGTTTTACAGATGGGAAGCATAGACTTAGAGAGGGGCTAATAGGCCATGGTCAGCCACTGGCAGAGTTTATAGACTGCCCTACTTGTAGTCCGGGTGTGAAGAACATTTATATTAATTACATGCTGATTCAGCTTTGGTGAGCTGTTTTGGATTCATGACATTTTTTATCGTGTTTTTAAAGTTGCTGAACTTAGAATTTTTGTTACATTTTCTCTGTTCCATTGTCCAAAGAATGAAAAAGAAAGCACACTCTCAGAATCCCTCATTACTGCATTTTGGTTATAAGTATTCTCAGACATGTCCTTCTGTTTGCCTTTTTGAAGAAAAAGCTGTGATTCTTTATATCGACTTGTCTAGCATGTTTTATCAATACGATTTTTCTTTTGATTCTAATTTTTCTTTTTTTCTTTTTAGTCTGCCATTTTCAATTTTCAGAGTCTGTTGACTGTAATCTTGCTGCTTATATGTACCTGTGCTTACATCCGATCCTTGGCACCCAGCCTCCTGGACAGAAATAAAACTGGGTATGTTACTCATGATGTCTGATCACCCAGATTAGTTCTTACAGCCATTGAATGTAAATTACTGTAAACGTCATTAAACAGTTTCATTTCTGTACGGAACTTAGTTTATGATAACTTTTTACATTTTCTTCCTCCATTTAAAAATCCAAAAACATTATATTCACAAATTCTTATTAAATATAAAGCTAAATATTATAAGTGACCTGAAATTTACTGTACTGAAGAAAATGTATATTTAAAAAGATGAACAGATATTTTTTCTGGGAATAAGAAAATAGAATAATCAGTAAAGTTACTTTTCACATTTTGAAAGCATTAACAGTTTGTAAGCCCTGTGTCCATAAAAATAAATATAGGCATTATCTCTTTAACCAAGACTGCTATAATCACATGAACTCCCTGTCTATATCATAAATTAAAAATCTTTGAAGAACTTTATTTAGTTCACTTAAACAGTAGTAAAAACTAAGTCTTGGGCATGTCACATCCCTTTTAATTATTGGGTTCATACCCCCCCCCAAAATTTAAGCTTAATGTCATAACACAGAGAAGTAAATTCTAAAATGTCACGTTCATAATACAGAAATACATGTTGAATTTAACTGAAAGGAAGAATATATTTTTAAAAAGTGCTCATGTGGTAAGTTTTCTTGGCCTTACATATCTATTAATTTCTGTGAATAATTGTCTTAATCCTTTCTTGATAAGAACCTGCACCTCACTTAATGATTTTAAGAAATAAAAGGATGAAATAATAGAATATTGCACATAGGAATAATTATTTCCAGCACCTTTTTTGTTTTTAATGGGAAGAAAAAGGCCAAGTTAGGATCCTGCAAGGCCAAACACTTCCACTAATAAAAGCCCCTACAAGAGGCCATTTGGTAGATACTCAACTATGAGAATAATAATTTCTGCTTCTTTCCTTCAATTTTATTCTGTCTTTGGATTCATAGTTAACGTTTACTCAAACATCCCATTATCTAAACCTTTTTTTTACTCTTCTTTTTTATTTCCTAGCATTGTTTGAATATCTGTAAAAGAATAAATAGAACCCTAACCAGTTTTGAAAATTGAAAACTAGTTATCCTGTTCTAATAAACTGATAATCTATCTCTGTTGGTCTGAAGGACTTTATTTAATTTACTAAAATTGAAAACAGATGCTATTTGTCCATCAGTTTTTATGACAATGCCCCACACCCTTTATAGACGTCTTCTTACAACACTGTTTTTTTTTAACTCCTGTTGCAGTTAATCTTCAGTACTCAATTTAATACTTTGTCTGTTTGTTGAAATTACATAATTGTATTTGTTGCTTATCCATTTGTGGAGTTTTTTTACCCAACCAATTTTATTTCCTCCTTTCCTTTCTCTGTGACCCCAAAATGTATGGTAGGAACCAGAAAACATTTTCGTTGATCAATTGTTTGGAATTCCAATATAATACATACTGTCCATTTAATAAGATACTTTTAAGGGTTTATTTCACTAAAGAATAATCACATAGTAGTACCGTAGAATATTTATACTTTATTGATGCTGTTATGAAGAAAGTAGATCGCATGTGGAAATGCCTGCTCCTCATTCCTTTGGGTGCAGGATCACATCCGTAACATGCTACATTAAACAAAGGAGTTCTCAGGGCTGCCAACCTTACAGGAGAGGTTGAGTAGTAGTATATTTCTCCTACATAAAACTACATAAAAGTTCAAATAAATAGCATGCCTGCGTTTACATTTTAAAGTATATGCTGATACAGTGAAGGGTTTGAAAGTGGCCATGGTGGGAATTTTTTTAAATTTTAAATAGCTTTTAATACACTAACTTTGTTGTTCCAACTTTCTGGTGATACTTAATAGTTAGTACTGAAAAGACCTTGACTGTGGTCATATGGCAGGACAGCCTAAGCTTCGCTCCAGGTGTCCTGCCTCTGAGTCCCTCAACCAGAGAAGCTTTACATCAGTAGTGCTTATTGTAATTAGTAGACTTTTAGAATCGTGAGATCATGGCATTGCAAATCACTAAGCAGTTGTCTTCCATTGCAAATCACTAAGCAGTTGTCTTCCAAAATGTCTGCTAATTTTAAGTGATACCTGGAGCTACTATCACATGAGCCTTTAGCCTTGTGTGTGTGGCTAAACTCAGCACATGGTAGTCACTATTCTAAAGACAGTAACTCACTTAATCCTTAACAACCCTACTGAGTGCTTGCTGAATGCCATTAAAGGGATTAAAAAAAGTTTCTCACATTTATGCAACCAATTAAATAGGATTGAATTTTAGGCACAGTCTGGCAATTATATGTATGTATATATATGTGTATATATATATATATATATATAGTCTCTCACTTTCTAGGTATTTCTTTTAGCAGGAAGCAGTCTGTTAAATGTTTATGGATAGAAAAACATTTTCAGAAAAAAAATTACTTTTAAGAGTATATATATATGGTTTGTCCTTGTGTTGTCAGAGTAAAATTGTTTCACCTGTCAGAATGTCCATATTTCAAAAGTAACTTATATTTTTACTCATTTCATTTTATCTGAAGTAAGAGACTTTGTTTTAAGGTCAGGAAGTTATACTTCAGAGGAGGAACCTATATAGAACTTACCAGTGTTTCTTTCCATCTTAATCATAGTAATATAATGATTCATTAGCCAGCCATCTTTTTGGACAAAGAGTGTAATATAAATTTCCCCGGAATTAAGTATTATGATATTGTTATGCTGATCCTAACTTGCTACAATTAATATTAATTTATCTTGATTTGTAACCATGCACAGGCTTCATTTATTATTCTTTTCTTCTGTCAAACCAACAAAATAGTTATCTACAGTGTTATTTGTTTGTGGTATCTGTATTCATTGAATGACTCAGTTTTTTAAATGTCAGTACTTTTTTATGTCAAATAAGTGAAATAGCCACACAATATGTATTTAATTCATAATATATTCAGTTGAAATATATTTAAATGGGCATCTTCATCTTAATTCTTTCTATTTCTAGAATGTGTTTTAAATGCCATATTTAATTACCTTATACACAATTGTTCCTATACCAAGGTTTTCTTATTATATTGAAAACATAGGCACATATTTTTGTATTCTTCCTTATTAAATAACATAGTTATATAGATGCTATTACTGGACTTTATAGTTGTGGGTTATTTAAATACAGAGTTACATTTTTTTAAGTCAAAACAGTTCTTACATGGATGTTTGCCACTTGCACTAATTTACCTTAGGTTTAATCTGTGACACTTTGTACATTCCAGTTGGTAATAGTTTACATGTAATGATAGTTGATAAGTTATCCTACATACGTGACTTGACATCGGACAAATTTAAGTTTTGAAGCAAAGTAGCAAAAGTTTAAAATGCTAGTGTAATGAATTATCTCTATGATACTGAATGATTTACCTTTTCCAGCAATCAATAGCTACTTTTTTTCTTTTTTATTCTATGCAGATTGTTGGGTATATTTTGGAAGTGTGCCAGAATTGGTAAGTGTTTCTGTATAAGCTTCATCATTTCTTCAGCTGTAAATTGTTGGCCAATTTGCTTATGTCGTTTTCAAATCAAATGACAGTTTTTAAAGTGCACGCTTCTAATTTTCTTGAATTTTCAAAAGTTCGTCAAGTTCTGCCAAATTCTTTTCCTTATGCTATTTAAAGCTAGAGTTGGGGGATATGTCATGACACTTATTAACAGGGAGATGGAAAATATGAAAAAAGCCTCTCTTGAAATCCAGATACCAAATACCATTGCATTCCTGGTTTTCAGAAGATTGCAAGTATGTATAGTTTTATGCTCACACACTTATAGTAGAAAGCATGTTTTTCTGTTTAATGTGTTCCATTTTGATAACCGAGGATGAATTTCCCATCCATGAAAGGCATACTAAGCAACTGTCTAAATATAATCATTTTATTGCTTTATGCTAAGTTGTAGAACGTTATTTATTGCTTTTAGAAAATACTAACTTTCATCTTTAAATCTTTATGGTCATAGCTAAGCTTTATTCTGATTGATTAAAGTTAACATAAATGCAGTTATCTTTTCACTTTTCATAATAAAATTAGTATCTTCAGTATATTTATGTTTAGATAATAATACACTCTTGTCCCATTTCCATATATATATATCCACATATACATATATATATGTAACATTGAGCACAGTGCCAGCAGCGCACAGTAAACTCTCAAATAATTGGCAATGAATGAATTTAAATGTATTGCTGTAATTCACCAGTATCCTTGAAAATAGATTATCTACCCTTTTTAACATGCCTTGTTCCAACACTACTTCAGGGCATTTGTTCTATTTCTTGTCTTCTTTGGAATAATTTACCTGACCCCCTCAAACAAATGATTTTTATACTCTTCTTCTAACACTGGGTTTATACAGAACTATTTTTTTTTAATAAGGTGTGAGGCTTTCAAGATGAAGAAAATAATCTAGTTAACCAATCTGACAACTGCCTGAATTTCCTAGTTTCTTTAAATAGGATGGAGAATTTAAGGATCATCTCCTTTAGATAAGCTGTGTTCCCATTACAGTATTATGTTTTATTTTGGTTGTCACTTCTCAGAGATGTGGACAATTTAGAAGTTGCTCCATAACAGGAAACAAAATTAATTAAAGATTAAAAAATACAAACTACACTAGTATTTACAGTTTTTTCTAAAAAAGACCTTAGAATTGATGTATCTAAAGCTAATTATAGGCATAACCTGGTCTCAGCTAAGGATTAATTATAGGAGTTTAAAATTCTTTAAAGCATCTTCTAAGGTTCATGTTGTTAACATTGAAATAATTCTGAGAGAGCATCTTCCCTTGAGCTTTTAACCACAGGCATGACCTATTCATGGTGGAAATTATAGGTATAATACTAAATTATCTGGAAGCTCTTTTAAAATTCGTTATGATGAGACTGTATGATTAATGATAATATAAGTACAAAGAGCTTTACAGAAAAGTACCTCTGTCAGGACCCTCATTCTAATATTGATTATTAAAACAAACATCTTTCAGAGAATTAAGTGTGCTTTGAACACATTGTTTTTCCTCAGAGTTCCTTGTCAGACTTTATTATCTCTTACAGTGATAGGCATGGAAATCTTTTTTTGCTGGTGGGATAAGAAATGTTATTGACCTTAGTTTGGTAAAGTACAGAACGGATAAGTGGTTGTCAGTCAGGGGACACTGGATCTTGTCTGGAGAAGTTTCTGATTGGTACAACTAGAGTGGAGGTGTATATATACTTGCTCTAGGGTATGCCTGCTTTAGGTCAGGAATGTTGCCAAACATCCTGTGATATATGGGGCAGCCCCTTCCAACAGCTTTAGCCCAAAACATCAATAGTGCTAAAGTTGAGACTACCCAATCTAGATTTACAGAGTTGTGTGGTGCAGACGTGTCTGGCATTCAGTCATGCTCAATGGCTAATGTTCGTGGCTATTGCTGATAGCTAGTGGTAAATGTAAATATGTATAAACCAAATTGTTTGCTTCACAGCCAAGTCACTCAAAAAAAAGAAATAATGTTGTCAAAAAACAAAGTAGCCAGAATATCTCAAGTAAACCTCAAAGAGAACATAATGGAAGAGCAAAAGAGTGTGAAAGAATAGAGTATCACCGCATTAGAGTAATTCTAAATACTCATTGGTAAAAATATAAAAAGTGTGGAGTTAGAAGGTTGAGGCTTCATCTCAGTGTTAACATTGAGTTGATAATTCAGAGATAAAATATTAAGGTATTTTAAATCCATTTTATGTTATAAATATGAAAAGTATAGCTTCATTCATTAGCCAACCCAGATGACTCTTGTCCACAATTATTACTTGGAAGTACAGCTAAAAACTTAAGATACCTAGTTTATAGCTTCCTTAATGCTTTCCTGTAGTCTCATCTATTTTTATGTCAAATTATAAACTACCTTTTTTTTTTTTGCTTGCTCATTTTTATTTTTCTCTCTTGACTATGTGAATGTCATTGGTTAAATAGTCCAGTTAAAGTATTCATTCTTGCCAATTATGGAAAAGCATTAGCGTTTCATTTTGGCAACGTGGCTTAGAAAATGTTGATGCAGATATGCTGCTTTCTCAAACACATGCTCCTCTTATCTTGACACAAAATATATCCACAAAGAAAGGATGCAATTTTAATGGGAAAAGACCCAGCCAAATCATCTTATGTTACACATCACATTACAGCAACTGTTTCACATTCGCTTATACAGAACCAAGACCAGACAAGAAGTAACATTCTTACCCAAGTTCAACCAAAGATGTTTAACTCTATCACATGGCAGCCTCTTTTATGAAAATTAAAAACAGGAAAATGAAACCCATATGTAAATTATAGCATTCTAAGTTGGAGGATGAGGAAGAGAACTTCATCAAAAATTGATTTTCAGCAGATGGAAAATTTAGGACAATATTAATCTCTCTTTTAGGTGTTTGGTAAGACTGGTAGACAGTGAGAGTTTCTAGGCTCAATTTAAGAGTGACAGGCTTGCTTATCAAATCTACCTGAAATTTATGTCAGAATGAGTTGGTCCTTTTTAAAATTTTATTGTGTAACTTGAGTTTTTTTATCACCAAGGGAATTAGCTTTTGCTTAAAGATTATAATCCAAGGAGATTTTTAGCTTTAAATATTTTATTTCTAGTTGAGATAGTGGTATTGTGAAAATGCTAAGCTCTCACTTTCTAGATTTTTTCTTTAATTGGGAGCAGTCCATTAAATGTTTGTGAAAAACGCTTTCAGATAAAACACCCAATGTTTATTTTATTTGTGTGTGTGTCCTATCTGTGAGTGTTGTCACTGAACAGACACAGATACCTGCTCACTAACAACCCGACTGTGTGAGCTCGGTCGAGGGTTTTAGTTGGTAAAGGTGGTCAAATTTGGTGTTTTTTGGTGGTAGTTAACTGAACTTACTAAATGAAATAAGGAACTTAGATACTGGAAAACGCCATAGAAAAACACAAGTGAGGGGTGCATATACAATATTTGCTAGGCATACCTCCACAAACCCAGGGTTATTTCTAGAAGTAGTACGTCACTCTCCATCCTTTCTTGTGTGTCCTTAAGGCAGCGGAAACACTGGTGCTTTGTGGATTGTCCAGCCTTGCAAGGAAGATGGATTTGCGTTAACACACAATCACAAGATCTCTATCTGTTGGCAAGACCATGTCACAAGCCAACTCCAGGTGTATGTCATGAAAGGGAAAGTCTCCCAAGTATAAACACTCCTTAAACAGATGTGAAAATTGACTCGCACTGCAGTGGTTGTTTTAGTTCTGCATTTCTGGCTCAGAGTGATCATACTATAAAATAAATTCCTCTTGGAAATTATTTCCCCTAATATGTTTTTATTAAGCATTTTATTTCATGCCCACTCTTTAAATGCAGTTTTGTTGATCACCCTCTGTTTATTGTCCTGTTTATGCTTGTTTTTCCCTTAAAAAAGGATCAGGAGTTGCTACTGATGAGGAAAATAAATATGGCTAAAAATTGTATACTGAATTTTTTTATGAGAGGAAATTTATTTTTCTACAGAAAATATTAAGCAATATTTGGCCTTAATTGAGTTTGAGATCATTTCTCTTGGATCTGTGTCCTCCATTCTGCCTTGTATTTTTTAATATCTGGGTTTATGCGGCTGCACAGGAATGGCGCATTGAGGGTTTTCAAAACAACTGAAAAAAAAAAGGAGATGATCTTAGAAATGAATTGATGTAATTTAGTGTGTTTTGTATTGTATTTGCTTTTATGTTGCATCTTTTGCAACATAAAAGTTCTTCTTTTGCCCACCTCCCAAATTTATGGGCCTCATAAACAATAACTTTGTCTTGATTTTGATATAGCCTCCTCTCATTGTAAGTAATAACCAGATCATATCTATGTTAGCTACGCATTGAACCAACTTGAATATCTCCCTTGTCTTCAACAGGTGAGCGGAAGAGTCCTTATGTTGCAGTGTGCTGTGTAGTGATGGCCTTCAGCATCCTCTTCATGCAGTAGCTTAGAAGAATGCCTGAATTTAATTCCCAATGGATTTCAACATAAAAGGGGGACTTATCTGCAGAAAATAGTGGAAAGAGTGGTTAACTTTATCTCTGAACATTGAATGAGATAAATTTCCAGCTGCTGTCTTATTATTGGACCAATGATCTGTGTAATTAGGGTGTAACCATTTAGTACTCAGCGTTTATAACAGTCAATCTCAGTACTGTCACTACAGTATTACATTCTGCAATTGTCATTTTGTTGTGTCCAATACCAGTTTTTAATGAGGTATCTCTAAGGCGCATAGTAGGAAAAGTTGGTAAATTATTCAAGTCCCTTTCACTGTGATTTGGAAGTGATGTATCAATAGAATGAGATCGTGTATTGGACTAGTTTTTTTTTTATTATTGGGGGAAAAAGATTCAGTTTTTGTTGGTAAAGATTACATTCATGTTTAATAGTACTTGCTTTACCTCTGGCCATACCATTTTGAGCATTAACCAGAGTACCTCTACTCTTAAGCTCTGTAGTTTACTGCAAATTTTTGAACTATTTAAAACAAGACTGTGCAGTTGTAAGGAGGAAAGTAAGTGAGATGAGTAGTACTGGGAAAATGTTCCTATTTAACTTACAAAGGGTTTAGAGGAGCTGACTGGTATGTAACCCCTGTAGCCTCTCTGGCTGAGTGTGGATACATGTCTTATGCATCAGTTCAACCAGCTAACTGTCATCATTCTCTAAATAAATTACATTCATGAAATGAAAAGAGCAGAACAGAACAATTACAAAATGTTAATCCTGTGTGTTTTTTTCATATTTTAATTACCCTAAAATGCAAACTGTATTTTTGTTGTTTTTAAATACAGCACTTTGAGTCTAATGTATGTTTTGTCTGTCAACTTGAACTGGAATCTCTTATGTAACTTAGTAGGTGGTGATTGATGGAGTTTTCAGATCTGTCGATCCACGCATGATGGCAAAGTGTCTTTGAGCTTTGATAGTAAAGGAGGACCTTCAGTGAGTGAGGCAAAGGAGCACACGGAGTGTGACCCAAGTTTCACTGTAGAGCTGTTTGTAAGTTCATGGTTCACATTTCGTGAGAGTCAACCAAAATTAAATGAAAATTTCAAAGTGAAGAAGAATTTAAATATAGCTAAAAAATGCCCTTACCACAGGGTCTGGCAGAAATAACACCTGCTTGAGTGTGGTTGGTAGGGTAATAATATGGGTGTAATAATTTATAGTTTTAATTTGAACATTTAAAATGTCATATGGTGTGATATCAATATGTTACAGAATTATATGCCTATGATTTTATAATAAAAAGGGTATTATTTGTGCTGGACCTTGTGTATAGTATTAATTAGATATCATTCTCAGTTGTTAATTCCTTGTAAGGTAAAAAAGGAAGAAAACAATTTTTTGCATTTTTAAGAAAATAATTATTTAAAAATTAGTCTGCTGGTAGCTCTTTCCTCAGAAACAAGGTATAGAACTGAAAGCCACCTGTTTTTAAAAATTAAACTACTTGCAAAGAATGATAGGAAACATTTAAGAAAAGCTTGCTTGGTATGCATTGCCTCTGGGTTTTCTTGTTTGTTTTGTTTTTAAAACATAAAAACTTGTAAACAATAGATACAATTGGGTTTTGGGTTTTGTGGGGGTTTTTTTGCATTTTTGGCTAATTTTAAGCTGGTTAAAAGTGGTACATTTTACTTTAGACAGGGAATCAGGCTATGATAATTTTTCCTACTCTGAACTCTCTTGGGCTTCCTGTTAGGTCAAGGATTTTCAGGGTATCCCCAAAATAGTACTCTCTTATCAGCATATACATGCAAAGTAAGTCACCTTTCTGGGTCTAGTTTCTTAGTGGCCATCTGTTGTCCAGCTCTGCTGCCAACTAGACTTTTGAAAGGCTATGACAACTAACTTTACATGCTGTATGAATCTAATATTTCAGAAAATGAATATTCTAGGTAATTAGTTCTAAGACATTAATATGGTATTTTGGAGGATATAGATGAAAGATAGAGGATGAAATAATTTATTTGGAAAATTTGTGGTATTATATAACAGTTTGTACTCCAGAGATTCTGAACAGAGTGGGAGGTGGGAGAAAGATAGGATGCTATGAGTAAAAGCATTTAGCATTTTCTTTATTGTTTTCAAGGAGCTACCACTGAAATCCTGTTCTAGAACCCAAAGGGCGTGTAGATAGTTTTAAGCCCAGGGAGTATTCAGATACTCCCTTTGTGGTCTTGGTGGGGTGGTAGAATGCAGAAGAGGAGTAAGGATCAGTTGAATCGTCAGGTGGACTGCCTCTGTCACATAGTCTTACTGAGGGGCTGGATGGGGTAATGGGCACTGAGGTCCACAGTATCCTACCTGCCAGTACTCTGCCTGACCTGCTTCCTGGCTCCAGAGTCTTTCGATTCCATCTCCCCCGGAACTTGTTTTGAGCTGATATATAGTTCTTGGTTGGCCTCTCCTGTGCCAATGGCAGGAGCATATCTTCTTTCTAAGCAGTTTTAAAAGTTGGTCAATCAAAAAGCTACATAGTGTGTTGAATTCCCTGTGTGGCTTTAAAAAGTTTAGAATGGAGTCAGATGTCTTCTTAATGCCTTTGCTGCTATGCCAGGCACTGTCCTAAATGCTCTTACATGTTCAACTTCGAAATAGCCCTTTTATGCTACAGATAATAGTAATATGTAACTTGTAATAGACTCATCTTAGTAATATACAGAACAGTTTAGCTTTACCTTAGGACAAAATAGGAGCGTGGATGAAGTAACTTCTCCAAGTTTACAAAGTCAACAATGAACAGATCTTTGATTAGTTTTGTGAAAAGACCTAGGACTTGTAAGTAGAATATTCATGTTTCAGTATTCTTTTAAGAAGCATTTATAGAGTGCATATGGTGAATTATCACTGAAGATAAGTACAAAATTTCTCCCCTCTGTAAGTAATTAAGTAGTGGGGGGTAAGAGAGATGAAGTATTTATGTGAAGTGCTATGTGATAGCATTTACTACTGAGATAATGGCAGGGTTCTTGAAGAAAATAGAAGGGTGACAACTCAGTCAGGGACATGAACTCCTCGCCAAAGAAGCAGCGCTGGAGCTGAATTTAAGAGCAGTACACAAAACACCAGTGATACATCACGGACTGTAAGGACCTAGCTTATGCCACTTGGGAATTAGTAAGACAAGCCCAGAAAGGTGAGCGGAGGTTCCATTTTAGAGCATCTGCAGTTTTCTCATTATCTATTACCTACCTCAGAATTTAAGTTGAATGAATTCCCTCCTGCCTAACCAACAAAAAAACAAAAACCCACAAAAAAATTCTTTCTTGGTGTATATATAAACAAAGTTGAAGATACCCATGCTAACCTTAATTTGGTCTGGGAATACAATATAGCATGTTCTCCAGAGAGCTAAGTATTATAAAGCTAAGGTAACCAGTCAGGTGAAGTAATTTTAGAATCTCTTTCATAGTCACTCCTAGGCACTCATACTCCCATCAGTGCAAAAGCAGCCATGGTTGTTAAGGTACCATCAGCACAAAGAACAAACATGGTTGCATTGTCTGCATTTCTGGGTGTACAGAAAAGATTTCCAATAAACAAAAGACTTCATGCTCTTTTCAAAGCCTTTGAAAAATTACTGTATCATAGGAAGCTAAAAACATGAATGGAAGATTCTTAGGGACCCCTCTACTTTCTTTGGTATCCAATAACGTGTTCAGAATATAAGTAGCTGAGCACAGCAAATCCTTGATTAATGATATTGATGCAATGCCTTAGAAGCCTAACTCTTATATTGATTAGCCTTTGGTGAAATTGGTTTTGCTTCATTGAAGGTCACAGAACCTACTGATGTTAAGTGAGAACTTTACTAGTATTATGAATACTATGAGCCTGTTCTCAATAACAATTAGCAAGTCACTAGCTTCCAAAAATAGTTTTGAGAATTATGTCATTTATATACTGCCAGCCATGGTTTCTTTACTTTACCCTAAATCCAAAAATTATCTGAAATGCTGCTCCACAATCAGAAAGGAGGGCAGGGGGAGATATGTTTCCTGTCATTTTAAGAATACACAGAGTCATCCTCTGGTTAGTCCACATGCCTGTGGTGTATAATAAAAGTCAAAGTGAACTCTCAAGACCCTCTTTAGTTTTTATTGTCAGATGAGTGAAAGCAGTTTCTTTAGGGGTAGAAAAATTGAAATTGCCTTCTTTTGAGTAAGATGGAAAGAGAAATGTTTCATTTGGTTTACCTTCATATTAGTGGTTGGTCGGGGTTAGTTTTAGGGAGTTGACATATTTTTGGTGGTGGTTTTGCACCTTAGAACTATATTAATGATATTGTTCTTGGAGTGAACCTAGAAGAGTCTAAATGACTCATTCCTATTTATTTTTAACCTTGTCTTCAACTGGAAGCCTTTAGATGCCCAACTGTATTCTGGCTAGCTAGCTGTCTTTCACTGTCCAAAATCTGTGAGCAGTGTCCATCGGAGTCAGAACTTTCCACCAGTTTATACCACTTCCTGAGAAATACGAGAAGGCTTCATATGTACTACATGCCTTGCTTTGGGTATCACCCAGGCACTGAGTGAACAGGCAAACTTTGTTAGACCTGTTACTAAAACATTTCACCTAACCAGGTGAGTTGCAACAACTACACAGGGGTGGGCAAAAATATTTAGTTTTGTTTCTGTGGGAAGTAATACAATAAATAATATTGCAAGAATGAACTGTTTCCTTCCCTGGGCATGTGGTTCTTGTTGGAACGTTGTCCCCCAGACCAAATGGTCACAGGTTTGACTCCAGTCGGCACATTCCCAGGATGCAGGTTCGATCCCCAGTCATGGTGCATAAGAAATCAACCAATTGCTCTCTGTGTCTCTCCTCCTCCTCCTCCCCTCCTACCTCCCTTCTTCTCTCCCTAAAAGCAATGAAAAAAAAAAAAAGTTCTGGGGTGAGGATTTTAAAAAAGAATTAACTTTCTCATAACTGTAAGCCCACTTTTGTTTATAGTTGAATTTCGAACTCAAAAAGAATTCAGATGTGAATAGAAAAACAGTATCTTAGTTGTTTCCTTTGATGTATATTGTAAATCCCTCACTGCTCCATTTTATTACCAGTTGATGTGAGACTTTATTTAGAAAGTCACTGAATTTCTGGTTGCTGCCTGCTCAGAAGAAGTCAAAATGGCTTTGCTTGAGTGCATTGAATTTCATGTAGAAGCAAGCAAAATCTGCTTTCCATTCAGAAGATTTGCATTACCATCCTTGACCATAGCAGGTTTGTCTGGGGTGGGGGTATACATTGGAAGTAAGGGTAGTCACTGAACACCCTCTGTGGAGTGTGAGAACACTTGGTAACTGCAAAAACCCAGGCACTACAAGGGATGGAGCTTTGGCCAAGGAAGCAGCCTGGGAGCAAAAGTGTAGTGATTGAGGATTTGTGCCCACATTTTCAAAAAATGTATAATTTATGAGCCACTTTAACATTTCTGATCAAGTACTATGTCTAAGTTAAGTGCTGGCAAAAAAATTTTTGAAAAAACTTTAAAAAGAAATAAGGAGACATTTACAGCATGAAGGATTTCAAAGAGGCATATATGTAGTATTGAAGCATCAAAGTTATCTGCAGGCCCCACGGAACACCAAGAGGTTTGACCTTGAAAACTGAAAGTTAGGAAGTTAGGCTACTCTCAGTATTATTTCGTTAGGGCTCCCGGAAAAGAATTTCCCTTTTCCTTTTGGTTTCGTTTATTAAAAATATTGCTTATTCTTTGCTTGTTTTTCACCTAATATATTCACAAATGGAACTGTTAAATTTTGGGGAATGAGAGTATTTTGGCTTATATGTTTAAGAAATTTACAATACAAAAATAGCCATAGAACACAAAATATCAGGTAATAATAGAGTTGGATGAGTGCTCTGAAAATACAGTTTTATGAACAAACTAAGCCTGATTCTGTTCTTAGCTCTTAACCAAAGCCCGTCATGTAAAATAGCATTTGTATTCAGGCAATCCCAACACTAGCTGAGTTTTTATTAAGCATTATCACAAGCATCTTTTCAAAGAAATGTAATCGAATCTGCTGACACTTAGAAATTGGACATAGGATACTACTGAAACAGCTCCTGAATTCTTAGATAATTAGTTTGAGCTACCATGAAGAGTAGAAATAGTGGTAGAACTCAGGATAATTTGTGTGCTCCTCAGAAATGTGAAGTTAATTTTTTGGCATCTCTGCTTCACAATGTAGAGTTTTTCATATCACTTTCTGTTCCTAGAAAAATGTGAGAACTTTGTCAGACAGTGCT